CTGGAGCCTGTTTCCGATTCTGTGTCTCCCTCTCTCTCTGCCCCTCCCCCGTTCATGCTCTGTCTCTCTCTGTCCCAAAAATAAATAAACGTTGAAAAAAAAAAAATTTTAAACTTAGCCTGAACTTGACATGGAAACATCACGTTTTCCCTGAAACTAGGGAAAGATTCTAATATACCTACCTAAATCAGTACCCTTGCGAGTAGCCAACTTCTAGCGTGCTAGGCAGCCCAAGATGGACTCATATCGTTAGTATAATCTCGAGAGTGGCATCCATCATCTTTACCTTACTCCATGTGTTAGCAGCGAGTCACAGATCCTTCTCACACTCAATGGTAGAGGATCGTATGAGCACATGAACACCAGGACCAGGGCAGGTGGGGCCACTATAAAGTCTGTCCACTACAGCCACTAACAACCTGTGAATTGTACACCATTTAGCAGCTACTACTAGCAAAGAATGGATTCTTTTCATCGGCACCAGCTGGGAAAACCCGAAGGAAAGACTCAGACTGGCCCAGCTAACGTCAGAGGTCCATCACTGGACCGCCAACTGCAGCCAAAGATGCACGGCTCCTAAGTTATTGAGTAAGACAAGTAGGAAAAAAGGTAGATCCAAGAAATGGGGGTTAGGGTTAGGGTTAGGGTTAGGCCTACCCAAAGAGTGGCCCATCCAGCTTTCCAAATCCTAGCTATTCCAAATTGGGTGGCCACTGTTCTATAAAACCTGATCCATGATATTGCTTTGTAGTCTTTCATACTTGGAAGTCTGGCTTTCCTCCCAATTTCAGTCAGACTGAGGGAAGAGATAAAGAAATACCCTTTTTGGGTGGCCCTGGGTGGCTCAGTGGGTTAAGCATCCCGCTCTTTGATTTCAGCTCAGCTCATGATCTCACGGTTTATAAGTTTGAGCCCCACATTGGGCTCTGTGCTGACAGTGCAGCCTGCTTGGGATTCTCTCTCTCCCCCTCTCTCTCTGCCCCTCCCCTGCCCCCTCTCTCTCTTTCTCTCCTTCTCTTTCTCTCAAGATAAATAAATAAACATTTTTTTAAAAAAGAAAGAACTACCCCTTTACTCACAAGGACTGCCAGATACATCACAGTTTTTAGCCTTGAGAATGGAGGTAAATATTTTAAATCTAACAACATCTGAAATAATTCTGTAGCCAAATAAAATAAAATACCTTAGAGAGGAAGCTCAGGGTATATTCCTTCTACTATTTGCGATAGTTCCACAATGTCTATTTGCTCTCTTCTTAACAACCCATTAAGGCTTATCCATACTACAATGAAATCATGCTACAGAGGTAAAAACTCGAATTAAGAAACACTGCTTAAATTACTCACATTTTCAACATGTCAGATGCAAATTGCGAGACTAAAATTCAGAAATTTTTTAGTAACATATTTTACTTGCCTGGCTTAACTGAGCCTGTATAGAAGTAGATAAATAATACTGTACATTTAATAAACAGGGGTCAGGAGAAGGTACTCATAAATATAATTAAAATAGAAACCCACCACTGAGAAACCAGTCTAGAACTTCCTTCTATATTTGAAAACAATACCATAGTCTCGAGCTCTTAATGATTTTTAATTCATAGTATTTTTAGAAGACTAAGGCTACAGAAGCCTCTCTTCCTAATCTCAATATTTTCAATTTCCACATCTAACACATGAAAAGCACTAACACGCAATCTGACTGAGCTTTTACCGATGACCGAAAATGCTCCCACCGTGGCACATTCAAAATTAAAAAGGCATTGGCTCGTTTGATAAAGAAGTACGAAATATTTAGCTATGTGATGCAAACTTTAAGAGACAATAACAAAATAAGGATAGTGAAGAATTTCCAGAAATGCTCTTTTTGTGTGTTTGGGATGTTAAAGCCGGAAAGCAAATTGCCAAAGAAGAACAGAAACATAAATTAGTTCAAGAGACAGCTAAGACATCTTTATGGAAAGAGAAAATGGATGGATCCAGCCTTCGAGCATGGAGGTGGAGTTAAAGGGCATGAGTTTGTCTTCTATCAGGCAATCCTTAAAGCCAGTGAATGGTAATGCCTCTAAAAAATGTCACTTTTCAGGATATCCTTTTTTATATGCATTTCCCAAGCGGAGGTGAAGTGGGAGGGCAGCCCTTTATTGGGGCATCCAGTCTATCAGCTAAAACTAGACGTCCCGGAGCCAGGATCTCAAATATTACATGACTGACCTAACCCCTAAGGTTTCCGTATTGACAGTGGCATAGAGTTAACACTGTTATTTGGCGGCCTTTTTTTGTTTGTTTTGTTTTGTTGGGGGGGGGGGGGTGTGTGTGTTGTTTGTTTTGGTTTTGGTTTTGGTTTTGGTTTTGGTTTCTGATGGGATCTTAAAAACAAGTCATGTTCTGAATGTAGTTAATTCCAAGGAACATTTTACCTTTATTGATTGAAGCATATTCTAAACATCTTTATGATGCACACAGGCATAAATTCTTAGGTTATGTATGGAGTTACCAGGCAGTTTACAAAAACAGTACTTTGGGGAAAAACAAAGCAATCCTCTGATTTGCGTATCGGGAACATACAGTTCTTGTCGACTTCCTGAAGGCTATGTCATCCCTGAGAGATCTTGACAAACTTTTGGTTAATGACGACTTCAGACACTTCCCAATCCCCAGTCTCCCAAATGCTGTGAAACTGATTACGGTCCTCTTTTAAACCAAGAATCAGTGACGCTCAACTGTTTCATAAATAAGATACCGAAGAACTGTGGCACGGAAGGTGGCATGGAAAAATAGTGATGGGCCGAGACTTTGCAGTCCAATTACAGAAATCTGGCTGGCAAATAACCGCTCTTTAAGTCTTTGTTTTTCTCTGTAGAGTGAATTTAAAGATAGTACCTACCATCTGTGGGCGTTCTCTGAAATGATGTGTATTGAGTGCCTAACCCATAGGAAACCTCGATAAGGCTGTTGCAGTGATTACTGTGTCCCACGTATTATTTGACTAGAAGTGTTCCATTTTTTGTCTCTTTTAGTCCCCAGAGCAATCCGTTCTCTTCACAGACCTAGGAGACAGGCTCTGCAAGGGTCAGACATTTGCAGAAGGTCCCAGGGATAAGCAGCAGAACCAAAAGTGAAGCTCCAATCTGTGTGCCTTCAGCCTGTTGTCTCTCCCTCAGCAAGATGGGAGGACTGGAGTCTCCTTGTATCCCCAAAGACCGAAGATATAGTATTCCAAAGAAAAGGGGGAAAAGAATCCTCCAAGTATCTTCTGATAGACCGTCTTAAAGATAAATCTGGTGCTTACATGGAGCAGAGAAAATTCTGACCAGCAAAATAACTTCCTTTCCAGCTCTTTAACATGACCTGCTTTTTTTTTTTTTTGTAGGAAATTTAATCATGCATCTGTTCATTCATTCATTTAACAATTGTTAAGTATCTATTATGTACTCAACCTGGACAACACTCCATGTGGGTGCCAGCCACCTAATGGAGGAGGGTGGCTGGCTTGTATATTAACCAGAGGCATAAATCCCCAAGTGATGTGAGAAACAGAGAAGCTTTGAAAGAGATGTAATTCAATCAAATTAGGAAGCAGAGTAGCAGTTCCATTAGAGAGGTGGGTGCCATCTGATAAATTCTTTGGACAAGTCAGTCAGTGGGGGAAAAATTCAAGACCCATGAGAGAAAGCACGATAGAAATTCAAACAGAGTTTCTCAACCAGGATCATCAGCGTGTTGATATTAGAAATACAAAGAGAAGAGTGATGGATTATTTAAAGAAATAGCTCCTTCTTCAAGTCTTATGCAACAACAGTTTACCAGTCAATAAATTGGCAAGACCATCCCCTAAAAAAAAAATGGGTGTTTCCACATTGCTCTACCAGATGGAAAAAGATTATAGTTAGAGAATCAGAAGTCTGTTCCTAAAATCTTTAGTGTATATACGTCCTTTGTATTTTGAGAAGAGGAGTGAATTTCTCTCAGCACATGAAGTGCTATATATTTTAGCCATTGGACAATCCTCAGTGTGTACCTTGAATTGTACTGATTTATAATCTTTAGCTCTATTTTGCTGTAGCACATTTTCCCCACAGATTTTCATGGTGACCGGCTGTGCAAGAGTCATCGAGTAATCATGATAACGAAATACAAGGTCATACACAAAAACCTGGCTCTCTCCTTTACCTTCTCATTTTCCAGCAGCTCTGGTTGCTGAAGTCTCTCAACTCATTCCTCAAGCCAGGACATCTGTGGGCTTTCCACTGAACTGTAACAGCGGAGCATGATGTAGACTGGAGACTGCCAACGGTCTCAAAACCATAAGAAAAGGAAACTCACACCACACAGTTCCCTTCTCCCTGTGTCAACTTGCCTCCTGGATCTGCCTGCTTTGGGTTTTCTTCCATTGCCCTCACATAGTTATTTCTTTATGTTTTATCCAAAATATATAGTTATCGGCAAGAAAAGTTAATCCAACTGGAGCTTGACTATAAACAAAAACAAAATTCCACATTTGAAGGTCCGAAACTCAAAGTTGCACTTACTAATACCATTTTTTAAGAAGCACTTTGAGCCTATTGAAGTGAAGACTCCCCTGATATCTTCTTTTGTAATGAAATTGAAAAATCTTTGTCTACTACAGAGAATTTCCATACAAAGACCACAGATCTTCCACACTGGAGAATCATTGTGCAATTTCAACTGATTTGTTTTACAAACCCGATCCCTAACAACTTTGGGTGACCATAGCTTTGGCTAATTCAGGCATTGTGAAAGAGTCTTAAACCACATCTGTTACAAATATCTTGCAAGGATAAACCAGAATTCAGGTAGTTCCGATCATCCCATTTGCCAAAGACGCTTCCCCGTAAAGGTTAAGAAGTTGAGTACACAGAAGTATCTATCATCCAGAGGAGGTCTTGAGATAGTGAAACATGCTTCTACATGTGTACTTCACAGAGTTGGCGATCTAAGACGGACACGATTGAGTTCGGGATTAAGAATTGGGAGATACTCGCTTCCCCGCCTTTTGCCCAAGATCAAGTGTAATCTCTGTTCTTATCAGTTTAATATCTGATTCATCCTCTATCTGAGGACAATGTATTAAACGGATTTTGGAGCAGGGAGACAGAACAGGGGCTTGTTCCAGTCGTTCTACTCATGGACCTGGTGTTACTTCCAGGAAAGGTGTGTACCACCCCCAAGGGCACCAGTATCCCTGCAAATGGCATGCTGCTTCTGGCTTTTGAAGCCATTCCGTGGAGCCATGCCCAGAGGAGGAGGCCCACTGGTTTCCTCGCGGTCCTGCAGCAGAGGCCGGGCAGGAAGCCAAGTAGCCAAGCTCTAGTGTGCCCATGAGCACCTAAGGCCTACCTTCTGCGTGGGACCGCACGTGTCCACCGTCACATGTCAGCTGACCTGTGTGTTTGTGGCCACCAGACTCAGTCTCACCACATCGCATCTGCTACAGGAAAGTCCCGGCCTCCCCCTCTCTCCTGGTGTCTCCATCTCTCCCCTGTGTCACCCTCTTGCCCCCCCAGGAAGAATTAGAAGATAGACGTTGGAAAGCAGATGACAGAGGAAGAAACAAGTCTATTGGTCAGGCCATCCCTTTGCTGCTAGTTTAAGAGACTTCAACCAGTCTCAATTTAGACTTCTTTTAGTTATTATAGCATCTAGTATAGGATTATAGTATCTAGACATTTGTCATTTCTCTTATCAGAAATATGACCCATACATAAAATTGTATCTCTTTTTCTGAAACAACCCTCCCTTTAACTCCTCATCATTCATAAAGCCCTAGTACAACAGTGCACATTCTTTCTGCCATTAGACTCAAGTATCCTATTTATTGCTACAAATAGATCTATGATCTAATAAAGACAGATGCACTAATATTTTTTTGCATGCAGGAGATATGTTGAAACACCTATTTCTCCCTCTTAAGTAATAGAAACTGGCATTTGAGAAACTTTAAAATTAAAACTTAATGAATCCAATTAAAGTACTCAAGGTCATCTTAAAAAGATAAAAGGAATTCCAAGCCAGCACGACTAGACAGCAAAAGGATTGCATCTCTGAGTACACTCATGAGGAGAATGTGTAGACACAAGGGCTCGGCTCCTGAACCAGAGGAAAAGGAATCCCAGAAGCAAAGCTTAGCAATGTCCATGCAAACAGGACGAAGCTTTAGGCAAAGAAAAGTTAGGATTTAATTTCAGGAAAGACTATATCTTAGAAAGCTCACTTGGTCAGCCCAAGGCCATACCTAGTAAGATCACCCTGATGTCAAGTACATCTCTACTGCAAAGATGGCTATATCAGAAAATCTCATTCATTCATTCACTCATTCATTTGTTTAACCAGCTTCTACTGAGGGCCCACAAAATGCTGACACTGAACAGGAGTCGGATAAAATGATGGCGAGCGAAACAGACAGGACTCACACTCATTTGCTTTCACTGTGATAGGAATGATAAGCAATGATTGAATAAGCTAGAACATAATCACAAGTAGTGATAAGCTCTATAAAGAAAATGTTTAGGAGATTGTAAAAAATAGTTGTAAGAAATGGGATCGGAGAGGTTTGGACACATACCCGAAGATCATACTATTCTAATTTTTTTTTTTAATGTTTACTTATGTTTGAGGTGGGGGAGGGGCAGGGAGGAAGGCACAGAATCTGAAGCAGGCTCCAGGCTCTGAGCTGTCAACACAGAGCCTGATGCAGGGCTCAAACTCACGAATCACGAGATCATGGTCTGAGCTGAAGTGGGACACCTAACCGACCGAGCCCCCCAGGCGCCCCAAGATCATAACATTCTGAATTGATGGGCAGGCATGTGATCCCATGCATTCTGATCCCAGAGCCCATCTTTCTAAATCACATAACATGTCAGCAGAGCAAACATGCAGAGAATACAACTCTAACCTGTTTTTAGTTAGATCTTTTATTTTCAAATTGATCCTTGCTATCAGGCCGGCTTTACAGAGTGGCCCAGTCTCTGCTCCTGTGCCATCACCATTGACCCTCATCATTCATTTAAATGTTCTTTCCCACAAGCAAATCTTGAAATCCAGGATCAGAATCTTCTGCTATGGCCATGCCCATTCTTGGCCCAGGGGCTCGACACCAGAATATAAAAGTCCATATTGAAGGGCTCAGATTCAAAGCGTTTTCTCGATCGTGCATTTATCTCTGTGTTCTGATACCAACATTATAAAGGCTGGGGGAAGGCCCGTTTACACGGGAAACAAGTGAAAACAGTGTGTTCCAACAACAAAAAAAAACGCAACGGAATCCATTGCTTCTCCTTCCACGTGTAGAATTTTGATCCTAAAATAATTCTTTGAAAAACTCAAAGGGAACGAAGCCCATTACGTTTCTAAAAAAAGGACAATCCTTTCTAGATTCACTGAAGTCTGGTGTATGACAAGCTTCGTTTCAAACACGCTTTTGAAAACATGATGTAAGTCTGACAAGTCAGACTTTGTAACTTGGCAAAGGCAAAGTTTCTGAAATGTATTTATGTATGTGTTGGGTGTAAACTGTTATTGTACTGGAAAGTTCTTGAAAGGGATTTTTATAAGTCTCATCTTGTCTCTCTCAAGTGGCTGTTAAAAATAGAGAGTTTATTGGCAACTATTTTTCCTTGTGTTAGAGAAGGATTAGCTTAATCCTGGTGAAATATCTTAACACTTCACTATATCCAATTTTATACAACTAAACTTTCATTATGCATAATACTAAAATAACTGCCCGTCTCCTAAGTGATTCAGAAGTTATACATTTGCCAGGTTTGTTTTTATAGACCTGTGAAACTTAAACACTATTCTCTAAATGAGGCCATGTTTTGCTTTCCTACCTACACCTGAATTATTTTAATTTTGGAGTAATGTTTATCTTTTTTATTTTTTTCTACAAAATGTTAGAAGCTTCCTCTGTGTATTGCATCCGGCATGATAGGATTAGTCAAGCAAATGTTGGGATCTTCACTATGGTGCACAGTTTACAAAGCTATTTGAGCTCGTCCTTTTAAAACAGCCCCATTCAGATGTAGGACATTTGTGTATATGACCCGATAGCCCTTCTCCTTTCCAATTATAAAAAGTCCAGTTAGGACATTTTTCCCCTCTCACCCCCACATTCGGAGCCAGTCCAAAGCTAAGTTAAACAGGCAATATGTGTCCTAATTCCCCATCAACACATAAAATGTCTCTTTTGTTTTTCTTCTCTGGTGTTTCCTCTACTTTTTTCTCCTCATTTAAAAACATCTACTGTCCTTTCAGGAACAAAACCTGATATCAAGAAATAATCTGACTTTGTTTCTGATAGAAAAATTTGCATTCCCTCTCATAGGTGTATTTGTCTTCTAAATCTTATCTCTACCCTTCAAATGAAAGAATGTGCCCCTTGTTAAAGAATTTCAGAGGGTTGTTTGTCACTCATGTAAAGGCATGCACCTTGTAGCTGCATGATCTGGACCATGGAGCATCCAAGGTCAGTGACGGAGAAAGAGAGAAATGGAGGAGTCACGCCGGCTCTTTCTTGCCTTAGAGTCATTTCTTCCTTTGCCAGTCCGTTGGCCAGGACAAGTCAGGTGCCTCAACCCAATTACCAGGGAAGTGATGAAATGTGGCTCTTTGGCTGAGCAAAAAACGATCTTGGCTTCTTTCCTTACCCTTTGCTCTCCTCTTCCTACACAGAAAACACACCCGTCTCCCCACAATAGATAATCCCAACTCCTGGCCGGTCCCTGCACATGACTCAAAGTCTAGATGGTGCTCAGTGGTGTCTTCATCAAAATTAGATACGACTCTTTGTGATCCGGAGATGCATGAACTAAAATGGACACATTTTCACCACATACTCACACCCAAAAAGCTACAGTGCAATGATGACAGGATAACCTCGAGGGACATTCCCATTCAGAAGGGGGAAGACCAGAAGACAGGAAGCAGCCATGATCCCGTGGCACTTCTGAAATGCTGATGGTGGCAGTCCTGCCCTGTGAGAGCTGAATACATCTCAGTTCTGTCCCTTGCTGCACCCCAGCTACCCTCGGGGGCTTCCTTCTCGTCCATTTTCCAACTTGGCCACGTACGAAGTGACCTTTAGAGGACAGGCCCTCTTTGAGGACTGTTCAGCTTTTCAGCTCAGTTCCAACGTCAGGGATTTTGATGACACAGAGTTGAGCGTTATTTTTTCCATGTTCAGTTACCTTGGTACTTCATTTCCCTCCAGGACCAAGTTGGTTCCTGATCTTAGTCTGGAAGCATTTGGCTTCTAGAAAAAGATAGTTGGTGGGCACGGATGATCTTCCACAGTTAGGTATAAATTAGATCCTCCCAGGAGTCCTGAGATGGAAGTATTGCCACTTTGACTTTTGACAGGTGGAGAATTGGGAAGATACTTCGGGAAGCAAAGTATCCTTCCTAGAATGCCTCTGAATAGGCACAGAGGTAATGTTCACGTTGCCAGTATGACATTACGTGGGCATATTGATGTGTCCAAGTGGTCTGACTGGGCCAACCCTGGAGACAATGGAACATAAAATTTGGAAATTGGACTCCTTCCAAACAACTCAAGACTTGCAGTCACTACATGTAGGTCGTGTATACTATTTTTGTATCTTTCGCGCCACAGGCATTAGGCTTTGGGTTAGTTGTGTGCTTTTAACCCAACCACTAAGATGTTCTGTTGGATCAGATGGGTGCCTGTCTCTGTACTCACCAGGAGAGGCCGGACACAACTTATTTGTTATAACGCTGGGTCTTGCATTGTGCAATCAAAACTTAGGAAGTAACTTTTGCTGATTATGAGAAACATAACATTAAAAAAAAACAACAACTTCATTTCTTTTTTGTCCCTATGGATTAATTCTGCAAGGGCACAATTGGATGTGGCAACTATCTACTTGTTCTGATTTCTCATCATGAGTTTTAAACAGCTCATGCTGTGGGGACTGACATTTCCAGGTCACAGTCAAAAGGCATAGCCAAGGCTTTCGGTCATGTCTAATTCTACTTTGTACATGTGCTACCTTTCCTCAGAGCATAATTTTGTTTTAGAAATGAATTACATTAAAGACACCTCAGAAGCACCGATTTAAATCCTGCCCTGCCAACCATCTTGGGGGGATTTGGTTACATCACTGAATTGCTTAACTAAAACCTCCACTTGATTCCAGTGAATTTTAA